GAGAGGTAAAATTCTTTCAGAACTCTGCCTTGTCTGCATGTTTAAAACCAGTTAACCAGTTTATTTTTATCCTTCCCTTTAAGTCATCATAAACCATAAGTATCGCATGTATCACAGAATAATTCCATGATCATACTTTCTCAAAGCTGTATAATAGTCCATTGTATGGTAAATCTAAAGTAGGACATATTCATGTGTGTATAGGGGGTTGTGTGTTATAAAATGTAATAAACATCCGTGAAGAAATCTTACCTCTCCTTACCATTTTATTGTCCCCTTCCGACAAGGTCTCACTGTGTGGCCTGGGCTGATTTCTAACTCACTACCCTCCTGCCTCGGCTTCCTGAGTACTGGAATTACATAGGTATGTGCCACTACCACTCCAGGCGCTGACATATTTCTTGATTAAAAGTGTCTGAAAACCAAATTGATGGTGAAAGCATACAAATCTTTCTGAGCATATCTTGAAACACTGTCGACCTGCTCTCTAGGAAAGCTGGAGCCATATGAATTCCCCTGCCCCTTGGGAGAGGCTGTGGCTGCAGCACTTCACCCTTCCTGGAGCGAAAAGCAGAATCCCAGGGCGACGACGTACAGTCACTCAATTACCACTGTGGTTTCATGGTTGTTTCCATGCCGACTGGCCGCTGTATTTTAATTTGGTGGCACATATTTGTGCCGTCTCTTCTATGGAGGTCTGTGGTGCTTCCTCACAGCTCGTTGGGCTTTGAACTAAAGGTATTAACTCTGGTTTTGTCCTGTTGGGTAACAGATATTTCTTCCAGTATTTTGTTTAAATTTAATGCACAGAAATCTTTAAATATTTTTCTCTGAAATATCTTTCATGGTTGATGAAGTTTAGAAAGTCTTTTTAGATGTATGGACTACATTCACTCATACTTGTTTCTAGTTTATGGTTTAACATTTCAAAACCTGCTTTGAAATTCTAAGTATGGCCTTGACTTTTCTTTCCCCAATAGCCAGCAAGCATCCCGTAGCCATTCATTAATCACTCCGTGGTTTAAAAATCCTTCCCTTCTAAGGATGAAATCTTATCATATCAGTGTCCAGATCTGGGTGTCACAATTCATTATTTATTTATTTACTTATTTATTTATTTAGTCTTTTTGAGACAGGGTCTCCCTGTAGCCCCAGCAGTCCAGGATAAACCATGGAGACCAGGCTGGCCTCGAACTCAGAGATCCGCCTGCCTCTGCCTCCCGCATGCTGGGATTAAAGGCATGCACCACCATGCCCGGCTTATTTATTCTTTTAAAAAATTAAATATGTATGAGTGACTTGCCTGAATGTACAAAAGTGCACCCATGCATGCAATGCCTGTAGAGGCCAGAAGAGTGCATAGATCTGATGGAAATGGAGTTACAGATGGTTGTTAGCTGCCATGTGGGTGCTGGGAACTGAGCCTGGGTCCTCTGCAAGAGCAGCCAGAGCTCGACTGCTAAGCATCTCCAGTCCCTGGTGTGTTCATTCTTGAACCTATAAAACTCTCACTAAATTATATCACTAACGTGATTTTTTTATAACAATAAACTCAGATCCATTTGTAAAAATCCTGACACTTTTGTCTTTTCATCTGAATTCATTTTGAATCCTGGTTTTCATCTAAAACCACTTTTCAAACTTCCTTGCTACATTCTCCCTTACTTTTATGCCTTCCTTTTTGGGTAGTCCCTACTACCTTTTTGTTATGAGCTTCCTAGAAACTTAACTGTGGCAAGTTTTTAGAATTGTCAGTGCCTCTCCTTCCAGCAGCTGGGCTCTCCTGACCTGCTGACCTGATGTCAGAAACCAACGGGTGGAAGGAACAGGAAGGGCCACCTGGGCAGGAAGTGTTCTGACCACGCAGCAGCACAAGGAGCATTGGGGAACCACCGCTAGAGCAGCCACATTGTCTCCACACCTGGCTTTCATATTCCTTGGTATTTAAAATGAGATGCTGAAAAATCTGCCATGTACTAAAAAAATTAAAAACTGCTCAAAAATAAATTTTGTGAGAGACTCTTACCCAGAAGAGGACGGCGCTAGCACACAGGGTCATTCGGATGCATTTCCCGCAGGCAGTGAAAGGGATGCGTTCTTCTTCCTGATCAACAAGACACACCTAGTCATGGGTATTATTCCAGTAACGGTGTTCAACTCCTGATGTGTCAACAGAGCTCACGCTTAATTAAAAAAAACTAAGTTTGTAAGTACAATGTCCTTACTCCTGAGCTGTTAATAATTCAGACACACAAGGCTAAGTGCAGCATTTATTTATTAATTATTCATTTTGGTGCTGGGTATTGAACCCAGGGCCCCAAACCTGTCTGTTAAGTGCTCTTGCTCCAAGCCACACCTCAGTTCCAGCATTTGTTTTTTTAAATGAGTGTAGGGAATAATTCGGATGTTACGCATTCTGCCACAACCAAGGCCAAGGCAAGGCGTCCAGGTGTCTGGCTGTGCCATACTCCTGGGCTTACCCTGGCTTTAGAAATCACTGTGATAGTGAACCTGAGCTGGGGAAGGGCAGTGACTCACAGGACTTCATAAATACCAGCTGCCCCATCTGTGTTCTCAGCCTGAGACTTACATATTAATTTGGTATACCAATGAATTAAGTTTCCGTCTTGAGTTTACCTAGAGAAGAAAGCAAGACTTCCAGCTGACCTGGAAGAGCGGCCAGAGTACAGTCCTAGCCGCCAGCTGACCCGGAAGAGCGGCCAGAGTACAGTCCTAGCCGCCAGCTGACCCGGAAGAGCGGCCAGAGTACAGTCCTAGCCGCCAGCCTTAGATGGCATTTACTCTGTGCCAGACACTCTGCTAAGTGGGTTCTATGCAAGAACTCACTCAACCCTCATAACAACAACGTGGAAACAACCCTATCATTCCCATTTTATGGATGAGGAAACTGAGGTCCAGACCCAGGCTCAAAAAGTGAAATGAGGAGGAAATAAAGACAAGTGCGGTTTCACTTAGAATTTCTGAACAAGTAGCCTGTCAATGAGAATTTAATTGTTATTAGGTGACAATTTTAAATATAAAATTGGAAGGCTTAAATGAGCAGATGTCTTTGCTTCAGGATACTCTGCAGGTTGCTGATACTACAGGCTCCTGTCAGCATTCCAAACACACTACGAACATCTCAGTTTGTCTGAGCTTCAAGCTTCCGTACCAGAACATCTACCATTAGCAAGGCAGGCTCTGACCTGTCCTCTCCAGTGAACAGCGGAGCTGTTCAGAATGGGAAGCATGAGCACTCCCTGCATTCCAAGAGAAAAATCACCCTCTACTCAGAACCTAACCTCATTTCTACTAAGCGTCTAAAACGAGGGTGCTTGCCAGGCGTGGTGGCGCATGCCTTTAATCCCAGCACTCGGGAGGCAGAGGCAGGCGGATCTCTGTGAGTTCAAGGCCAGCCTGGTCTACATAGTGAGTTCCAGGACAGCTGGGGCTAAAGGGAGACCCTGTCTCAAAAAAGACAAAACAAAACAAAACAAAACAAAAAAACAAACCAACGAGGGTGCTGAACTGCCCCCTCCAGTCCCTTTTAGTGCCAACATTCTGTAAACCACGAGTTCAAGTAATGGACTGTATAGCTGGACATCCTCAGATGCACTTGGTAAAAGAATTTCCCTTCCAGGAGCAACTCCTATTCAAAACCCACTGCTCCCATGCCGATGACTTCAAGTACAATCAGCTCTAAATTTCTTGTGCTGATAGAAACTGAAATACTGCAGAAGACTCAGAAATCAGCTGTTGGAGGGTTTGGAATATATACAGAGATTTATGGCTTTATTTATTATTTGTCAGCCATAGCAGTGGCAGCAAGTACATTTTCCAGTGACGTAAAATGCCTTGCAGTGCTGGCACGGGCTCCTAAACATGTGTGCCCCTCTTTCAACCTCTTGACTTTAGAATAAGAGCCCCACTATTTTGTGCACATCCTGGTCAGGTGGGGCAGTGACTGAGGGGGTCGAGTGCCAAGACTGTAACGAAGCTGCTTGTGAAGACTGAGCATCATCTAGAAAGGCCAGCATAGCTTCCCTTAGACAACCGTGTCATAATCTATTATTATTATTTGCATTTTCACTATTATTGTAAAATAAGGGATCACAACTGTTTCCTATGTGCACCTTCGGAGCAATGCCCAGGACACACCCAGGCTACTCAGCACTTCAGCCAGGCCGTGATGGGCCCAGGCATCTGTAGTGTAAGCTCCATGATGATCCGGTCAACCGCAGTGTTGAGGACCCAGTAGTGAATCTTTACAGTGCACCCGAATGGACCCTCCTACCTGAGTGATCTCATTGATCACCACGTGAGTGCACTGGGCTTCATATTCTGGTCGGGGTTGTTCTTCGTGCTGAAGCTCAACGGTGTCCCATTCATACTCCAGTTCTGCCTGGCGCCGCTTCCAAAACTCCAAAAACAAGGTAACTGATGAGAGAAGGGACGTGTGCATCCTTAACAGCGGTGCCCAGAACACCACAATGGGCATTAATCAGTCTAATTTATAAGGGACCTAATATAGCTAAAGAGAGAAAATGTTGGTAATTTACACACATTGTGAGATACAATAGCTTATGGGGGGGTGATAGGATGGTCAGAGGCTTGTGTGTTGTAACACTAACGCTTGCTACCCACACTTTGCCAATTGAAAACACAAATAATTCATTATTCAAGAGCTGTTCATAGCTCAGCCATTGCTCTGCCTTTCCATATATCCCTCTGTCCTTCCTTTCCTTCTTTCCTCAGGATCTGGGGGAGAAAGGAACACTTTGGTACTTTCCAAATAAGCTAAAATAATATTCTTTCATATAGAAAACCGCTATTTTCCTCAATCTTATATAAATATGAAAAATTAGGGACTTTTTAAAAATAATCTGTAACTCAAAATACTAAGGACAGACGTTAAATGTTAATCGAAGAAATATTTTTGGGGTAATTCCCTGCCTCTTCTAATTAGCCGCTGTCCCTAAACCCTATTATACAAAAATTCTCGAATTACCAGCATTCTGTTCAAAGTTACTTTTCAAGTGTCCACTATATGCTAAGAACAAAGAAAAAGACAGCCTCTACTTCAAGGAGCTCCTACATGTGTGAGGGTGACAGGCACTAGAGACAAAGATGGGCACAGGCTACTCAGGACACACAGTCACAACCTCCAACAATGTTGTGGGGACAGTCTCCCAGGAGGGTCTCACCATGTGGTAAGTCTCGGACAGATGAGCAGGTGAGGGGTGGAGGTGGCAGGTGGAATGTTAAGAAAGCCACACATGAAGTCACAGAGGCCAGGGCACTGCTCTGCTCTGGCTGTGAGGGAGGGAAGGGTACACTGAGGAGTGGCAGGCCTGCAGGGACAGATGACAAGAGTCCTGAGGACCGTGAAGGAGTCAGGAGTTTAATAAAGGTGGAGGAGGCACTGGAGTTGGTCTAGAGTGAACACAGGCGCAGGGCAACCTACCCATAGGCACCTGAGGAGGAACCATGTTTGAGGAAATGTTGAGGTGGACTGAAGAGATACAGGTGTGAAGAAGGGGCCAGAGGGACAGAATGCTGGCGGGGGCTTCTGATTTCAGCAGTGGCTTTGACTCTATTGTAGTAAAGAGGAGCAGGTCTCATGACAGAAGATAACTGGTTTGGTTATGACTAGGTGCCTGTGGGTTACTCAGGTGAGATGGCCAGTGGGCAGGTGTCTAGTCTAGAGGTCAGGAGAGTGCCGGCCAAATCAGGAGTCCTCAGGGTTTTAAGTGTCGGCTGGGGCTTGACTTGGGGTAGATGAAATCTCTAAATGAGGTGTCTGCAGCCTAGTAGTTCTTACCAGGCTGGATATAAGAGGCTGTGGGGAAGCTTTAAAAAAGCCCCGAGTCCAGGAACCTGCCCTGAGATTCTGACTTAACCAGTCTGGAATGAGGCCTGAGCATAGGGTTTTGTTTTTTTTTTTTTAATTTTTTTTTATTTTTAAGTAGCAGCTAGGGTTGAGACCTAGTCCTGTAGACCTGCATGGACAGCCTGAGGAACAGGAGGAGAGGCTGGGATGTAGGGGGGGGACAGACCTGAACTCAATACTTTAAGAGTAGCTAAATGATTAAAGCACTGACTTCCCAGCTGTGCTGGTTATGACTACTTCAATAAGTTAGAGAAGGCCTGGGGGCTGGAATCAGGTTCAGCCTGTTGAGGGTTTAGTAGACAGAATGCTGGCTCCACTAAAAAGCTTCCAGACCTTGCGTGTCCTTGAACCTGCCCATGGGGAAATGAGGTAACTGCCTATCACTGGATGAATACCTTCAGGACACTAGGTCGTTCTGTGGACAAGCTGTGTGACCAGCTTTTGTGGCCCACATGAGCTATGCTGGCCTCAGACACTTCTAAGTGACCCCAGTTAGAGGGTGTGAGAGCTGTGTTCTTTTTGAGAGAAGTGCAGTTTCACTGGAACAGAACAGCTATGAGGGACAGGGCTGCAACTTAGCAGTGCTTAGCAGAGGTAGAAAAAGAGCAGTTTATTTCCTGTCAGTCCCTCCTCTCTTCAACACATGCAGCAGGCGCACAGGCCTGACCTACATTTACTTGTAGGCTTACTGTCTGTTGTACCTAGAATGTCACCTTCCCGTGGGCAGGGATTTTGTTTTGTTCACAGGATGAAACACGAGCACACAGTAGGCACTTAATGAGCAGTGCACTGGATGAATGAATTGAAGGAAACTATGCTATAGAAACTGAGTGGACCCCTCTGGGAGCGTGTCCTCTCAGAGCCCCGGCTGACACCACCTGCCGGCCTCTGTGTGTGACTGTCCACTCCCACCACCCTGCTCTGTCAGTCCACTTGGGCCCAACTCTTTGTTTCATTGTTTCTTTGTATTATTTTCCTTTTACATTCCATCAATTTCTGCCTTCATCTTAATTATTTCTTTCTAGCTGATTGGAGGTTTAGCTTATTCTTGTTTTTCCAAGGCCCTAAGGTACACGGCTGTTATTTATTTCAGTGATTTTCTAATGGAGGCACTTGTAACTATGAACTTTCCTTCTGGACCATTTTCACTGTATCCTTTAGTGTGCTGTGTTTTCATGATGTTTGATTCTAGTTTCATCTCGATTTGTTCAATGCCCCACTCACAGTGTGCTTTTGATCTTCAAGACCTTGTGTATTTCCTATAGTCACTTTAGTTTTCCTAGATTTATTGAGACTTGCTTTATGTCCTATTATATGGCCTATTTTGGAGGAAGTTCCATAGGCTACTGAGACTGTGCTTTTGGGTGTTAGGATGGGGTGTTTGCTAGCTGTTAAACCCATTTGATCTATGATTCATTTAAATCAGATGCATCTCCGTGGGGCTGACATTTTCTAATCCATCCTTATTTTTCAGAGTCCCAAACAATACATAATCATATCAAAATATAATTATATCAACAAAATAAACGTTTGTGCATCTTTCTAAAAGCCTGATACGAACCTGAAAATATACACTGCATTTTGTTACTGATCCAAGGGCTGACAACGGTCAAACTGCTCAGAGTTTTCTTATAGAACACCATGCTTGTCACTGCATCTGAGTCTGGATGTAATTAATTTACCTTAGCGCCTCTTTCCTCACCATTAAAATCATGGCATTTACTCAGAATCTATGTAGCAACTCTATCAGTAGGAGCAGATTCATGAAAATAAACTTTTCTCACTAAAAGCAACATAAGCAACTGCCCTACTCTCTGAACTTGAACACAGGGTTGGAAGCTGCCTACTTCAGGGGCAGTTCTACCTCCAAAGTGATAGGATTTCCATGTGAGCAAGAAGTGGCCTGGTGGGAACCAACTAGCTGCTCACAAATCTTCAACCTTGTAGGCAAACCCCTGGGAGTTTCAAGAGGGGTAGGTATTTGGAAGTTCCTTGGTTCACACACAATCAAGGTCTCTGTGGGGTGCAATCACCCAGTGTTTTGGAGTGCTCCAAGGACCTGTCACTGTGGACTCACATGGCAGTGCATCCCAGGAAGGAAGCCCTCAACAACTCAAGCATGATCAGAAAGGAATTACTGGTCTGAATTCTTTGCTGCCTCCCTATGCTACAGCAATGAACAGTTCTTGGTATAAGAACACCACACCCGGAGGCTCCAGGTAGTCACACGCAGCTACACCTCTTCTACCAACACGTGACAAGAGCTGAAGGAGGGCTGCACGGGTCCTGGGAATCAAAACCGGCTTCTCCTCTTAATCAGTATAGTATTATTACATCTAAAGAAAATATGCCTTGTTCGGGTTCTCTGTTATGCAAGTAGAAGTCTCTTCATGTCCGGATAGCTCACGAGCTTGGAAACCATGTGCTGCAGATTCCTTTCATAGCAGAGTGCCTTCCTGGCATCTTCCTTGACTCTTCTTTTAAAGTGCTCGCCACAAATACATGCCCTCTGGCACAGGAGTTACCAGGTTTTAATCAGGCGTTGTCTGATAGCCTGATAGAAGCCCACCGCCCTATGTAAATGAGGCATCCTAAAAGTACCTATCAGCTAAGACTTCTTCTGCTGTCTCTACACTATAAATAGTCCTAGTTTTACCCCAATAAAGTTGGAGCTGGATCACTTAGACTCGGAACTGGATCACTTAGACTCGGAGTTGGATCACTTAGACTTGTAGCTGGATCACTTAGACTTGGAGCTGGAGCTGAATCACTGAGATCTGAGCTGAGTCACTTGTCTTGAGCTGTAACACTAAATCCTGTGATCCAGTCTCCCCGGGGGGCGCTATTCCTCCATTATCGGCCCACGGATACCCCAGCTTTTGCCACCTCCATGCCTCTTCCCTGTGGAGTTCACTGGCCAGGAACTCCGCAATCCTGAGGAAAGGTACAAGGGTGTAATAGAGGCGGGATTCCGACTAGATAATACTCTAGTAGCAGAGGAAGCTCTCCGCTCCAGAGAAGTGTGTAGCCATCAGCTACAGCCAGCATCAGAGAAGTCTGCGCACCTGCCGTCTCCAGAGAGGCGCGGCCGGCTAGGCCTGCCAGCGGCTAGCCAGCGGGACCAGAACCACGCGGGGAGAGTGCACGCACACCTAACCCTGGGCCACATCCAGAGTGAGTGCGCCCGGGAGCCCAGGCGCACTCCCCACATCTCTTGCGGCCAGACTCACGCCAGGACTAGCCAGGTGTGGCGGAGACCCCAGGGTGCCCGCACACAGCACGCCGGGGGTCTAGCGACCCACCCCATAATGCCTCAGGTGAACAAACACACAAAAAGGGGTTCAGAGGGGTAGAGTATTATGTTTTGCAACATGAGAGGGTAAGACACACAACTCTGACAGGTGGTGGCGTTCTGGCTGTGAAGGTCTGAGGTGCTTTAAAGGCCTCTTAACTCTTCAGACCTCATTACTCATGAAGTCTTATGAGGCAGATTAGCTAACTCAGCCTCTTATCCTTACTAACTCAGACTCTTGCAGCTAGGAAGGATACTAGAAATGACTTCTTTTAGACGTGTATGAGTGTATTGCTTGCATGTGTGTAAATGCATTTGTATCATGCAATGCCCAAGGAGGTCAGATGAGGGCGTCAGATCCCCTGGAACTGGAGTTAAGGACAGTTAGCCACCATGTGGCTGCTAGGAACTGAACCTGGGTTCTATGCAAGAGCAGCCAGTGCTCTTAACCACTGAGCCATCTCTCCAGCCCCTAAAAATGACTTTCAGCATGCTCCTCAGATGCCTCTGTGTGTCACTCAAGTGGAGACAGAAGAGCAAGCAGCAGAAGCAGCCCAGGTCTGGGACTAACAGCTGCAGCTGGTTTCCTGACCCCCAGTGCAGCTCGCTGAGTTTTCTGATTCCCTATATCTTTAGGACCCAGGAGTCTAGCGCTTTCCTGGAAATCACTCATAAAACCAAGCCCTCATATGTGACAAGTGAAAACTGGTGTCATATAATCAAAAGCCTAAGCCTAAGGGAGAGTCTGGTAGAACCGGGCGATGAAGAATGGGGAGGGTGAGGTGTTGAGAACATTTACTTCAACCACAGCTTGTGCTTAGGGCTCCCTGGGTCGGCAGGGCTGGTCTGGCCTACACCGAGGGCATTTCCAGGTAAGCATATGATCTCTAATATATATATTATAAAGATTTTTCTTCCCTCAACTTTTATGATTTCTAGAGAGCAGAAAAATATTCTGAGTGCAGAATATTCTACACAAAAGGCAACGTTCCGGGAGTGGACCGTGGTGATGATGAGTTACCTCACATGAGCCCCCTGCCTGCCAGCTCTGCAGTTTCAGAGTTCTTGTAATGAGGTTCCCAGCAGTAGCTCTCATAAGGCAGAAGTAACAAGGAAAGCAACATAAAGCACTTAAAGAATTCATCAAAATACAGATCCTTAAAGATGTACATGGGATGCTCTAAGCAACTCACACATTTTCTGCATTTTAAAATCAGATGAGTTAGATCAGCCTGATCCGTAAGGCAGTTCTACAAACAAGATGTAGTTAATGATCGGAGAAAGGAAGGCTAGCTGAGGAAAGCTGATGCTTGTCTTTCCTGTATCAAAATTAATAGGTATTTTGCTTTATTTAAAATATCTTCTGTTGGAATTGCGGAGATGACAAATTTTGCTGAGGCTTTGGCTAAGACAACATGGAGAGCGCTGACTCACATACAGCGCTCTAAGCTATTCCTAAAAGTGACGCATGTATTGCTTAGAACACAGACCGTCATAATACACGAATCTGATCCAAAGCCTCACTCACACCAGGCAAGCATTCTACACCGAGCTGCATCCCCAGCCCTCTTAATTCATTCATGTCAGTAAAAACCCATTAAATGTCTGAATGACAGTGTTACCTGTTGGGTAAGTCTGGTCACCTTACACTTCACTCTTCCCAAGAGTGTCTGCAGATATTTCTTAAAGGTTTACAAATCAGCTGGGTAACCTGCAGTTTTCCATCTGGTGGCTCTTGATAGGTATAACCACTGCGGACCAGCCCTTCAATCACTATCTTCGTGAGTCTCTCAAGACGAGAGACATGGTTCAGTTCCTCCCCCACATGTTCTGTAACCTGACTCTACTGACCTCAACCTACACAATAAAATTGGAAACTCATTTACGTTTGAAAATGGAAATGATCTTTCTACATTAGAACATTTATATCCATTAAACATTTGAAAGTCTGCATTTAAAGGAAATACTTGCCTCGTTACATTAATGATGCTACACAGAATAAATAAGATAAACATAGTGTTCAGTTCCTATGCACAGCTAACACCTGTTGGACTACACCTGTTCTGTTATTTCAGAGAATGTGCTATTATTACCACGGCAAACGGAAACACACTTTTCATTGATGCAGGCTCACTCATGCTCCCGGCATTGCTGTTCCTCCCGCCCCTCTCAGGCTCCCAGCTGTGGGAATTGGTACATCACAGGGTGAGCACCCCTCATCTACAAACCTGAAATCCGAAAGGCTTTGAGAACTGACAAGACTCAAAATGTTCAGATTCTGGATCATTTTAGATTTGGTCATTTTGAATTAAGGATGTTCCTGTGGTAAAGTCTATGCAAGTAAAAATATGAAGAGAAGAAAGCCAACAACTCTGAGTTCTGAAGCACTTCCGGTCCCAAGCATGCTGAATCAGAGACACTGAGGCTGTAAAGCTCCAGGGACACAGGCCCCCATGGTCTCCTCCCTCAATGACTCAGGCTCGGCCACCTGACTTCCTGCCACTGACTGGACCTTAGCAAACGAGGCAACCATAGGCTTAAACACTGCCCAAGATCACTACTGCACCAGTGGGCAGGTCTTGCTGGACAGGTCATACCAGCGTGTGACTACTACATTACCAACTGCTTTCTCATTGGATTTGAGGCATGCTCCACAGAAGGGATTCATGTCTGGTACTGTGAACCAGGTCAAAAGTCCACGACTAGGGAAGTCATACACCCTACAACTGTTGCTTTGGTAAACGGCCATATTGTCAAACTGCCATCTAAATATTTATTTTACACCCATAGACCTGGGCAGCAGTTCGAGAAGCTTTTGTTTACAATGGCATCCGTGAATGCAGAGACTCCTAAGAAGTGAAAGGGCTGAGAGTAAGTAACTTTGAGTGTTTAGCCCTATATAGGGCATCTTTATCAAACCCCCACCCCACCAGGGCCCAGGAATGGGGCAGAAGAAGAGGCAGGACAAATGTGAGACGCAGAGGGCAGGGTGGGGTCCTGTGACACGCAGTCTTCTGGACTCGGGACAGCTGCTGCACTCATGAACTCACAGCAGCGGTGGTTAGCTGCACTTTCAGCATGGTTTGGGGAGTTCATGACGTTCCAGTCCTAACTGAGAAGCTGCTGGCAGTTGATAGCTGATGGGAGAGGGAGAATCATTTTTCCCTGAGGGGTGGCCACTGAGGCAGGTTGTCCACGCTCCTGTAGATGGCCCCACACCCAGCTCATACCGACAGCACTAATTGGACTTAGTGTGTTACATTAAAAAAAGATTAAAAATAAAAAGAAGATAAAAAATTGGGAGGGAGAAATGTTAGGATCTGGGGGGGGGATGGGGGAAGATATGATCATATTTCATTGTATAAATGTTTTTCACATCCCATGTGCTGTAACTTGCCTTCCTGTGCTTCTTGTAGCTCTGGACTATTTGAGAGTGACAGACCACGTGGGACATAAGGAGGGGCCCCTCAGACCGAGTCACGTGTCTTCCTGCTAGACCATCTAGCTACAGTGAAGCCACCAGTTCACTAAAGAGATCAGCCAAGCCAGGCCATGTGTGACCCAGAGAATTGTGGAGAAAGAATGAAAGGAGAAACCAGGTTTGTTGCTTAGTCCCCTACATTTTAAGGTAGATTTTCATACAGGAAAATTGAAATGACACTTACAAAAGGAGCTGCAGGGGGGTTGAAGCTTAGTCAATAAAGGTGGCTTTGATGGCTTACATAAAACTGTATCATATTATCAGATGTACTATATGAGAAAAATGAAAAAAACTTACCCCACACTCCCATAAATACCGCAAAGACCAGGGTTCCAAAACTGTCAAAGATGCACAATTTCTGGAAAATATTAAAATAAGATACAAATAAATAAAGGTCTTCACTTATTAGATTGTAGCAAATACACAGTGCTTTGTATATTCCGCAGCGTGAAGTTCTGAAGTTGATAGCAGATTAAGTCACCATGTGTACGACATCTTCGTAGATGGAATTTCTCGCCCTTTTGAAAGCAAGCAGCCTTTGCCATCTTAGCCTGAGTGCATTTTCAATGGACTCTCACCGTACTGCGGTAAAGACTGTACTCGGTTACAGCTCCCACCAGGCTTAGGCTATGGCTCTTATGAGCTGTCACAGAGAAAGAGAAACAGAATGGCTCCAAGAATCTAGTGCCTTCTAAGCAACTTTTAAAATTTATTTATATTTTATATATATGAATGTATTGCCTGCATGTATGCAGATGCCCTCATGTCAGGCAATACCTATGGAGGCCAGAAGAACAGTGTCAGATCCACTGAACTGGAGTTAAGTCACTAGCAGCTATGTGGGCACTGGGAACTGAATCTGGGTCCTCTGCAAGAACAGCTGGTGCTCTTACCCCCCTGAGCCCTCTCTCCAGCCCACTCTGAGCTCCTTTATGATTTTCCTCTTATCACTGTTTCATTCCCTTCAGAAAATAAGTTCCGAAATCCTCCTTTTCTTATTAAAAAGAACTCCAAAGCTGGGGGTTATGGGAGAAGGCGCTCCTCCAGGAAAGCTCTGCTTACTCCAACCCAATGTGGCTAACGGGTGCTTTTGCGGGGATAAAGAATGCGCAGATGCCTCTGCTGACGTCACCAGCATAGCACCCGGGAACGATGCCCACCGCACCAAAGGTGATACCCCCACCGCTTCTCCCCAGCCAGAGCTCTGCTGGAACACACAGCTGTCTTTAACTTCCCGGAAAAAAAATCTTTCCATTGGTTATCTATTTTTCATTAGTGAGCATTTAAATTTTTCCTAAAGAAAAAAAATAAATAAATAAACCCCCCCAAAAAACCCACCTTCAAAGATAAGGGAAGAAGTGGGGACCAGGTACTAGGTCTACTTTACAACAGCTCATTATGAAGAGCAAAGGGGGTGGGGAGTAAAAGAGAGGCTAGCCGGGAACAAAACAAACTTTTCAGATGGTAACATCCAAAGCTGTCTCTGAGTAGGAAGTCGATCTTGCTTTAGGTAGTTTTGAGTTGCTTTTTATACTTTATATAAAATGGTAAATTTTCATCTCGGCAAAATCATTAGTTATTTTCATAAAAGGATATATACCTAGCAATGTCCTCATTCACCTGCTTTACAAAACAAATATGTGTCCCTTTGATCTTCCATGTAGCCCTTGATCTAACAGCAGGATTCAAAACTGTCTCATCCAATAATTCCTCTTAAAAAATCCAGTGCAGACTGCTCTTGCAGAGGACTTGGGTTTGATTCCCAGCACCCACGTAGAGGCTGATAACCATCCGTAACTCCAGTTCCAGGGGATCCAATGCCTTCTTCTTGCCTCTGCAGGCACTGCACGACACAGGTGCACTTACACACTCATAAACATAAAATAAAAATAATAAAAATTAAATAAAATCCAGTGCAAGGAAGATGGAATTAATACCATATGATTGCTCTGGAGAACACAATAGAAGTTTGCATTCCATAAACCACATTTTCAATAGTGTCTAGCTTTGACTCTTCCAAACCATCTTCTCTAAGATGTCTTTGAATATTTGCTTTACACTTTGTTGCAAATAACCATAAGCAAAGTGCTCTGAAAATATTCGGCATGTACAGTCCTGTGAAGACCCTGTCCAATGCCACTTCCATTTTAGGAATCAGTACAAGCCTTTCCTTTAGGATCATTCTACTTGTGTAACACTTCTGCCCCACACACCTTGGGAAGTCACTCTACCTGTGACTCCTCAGTAGCCATACTCTTTGGGGAAAAGTCAATGGAAATCATCTATCGGTGATAGAGAAAAAAAACCAACCCATCAACCCTAGAAAGCAGCACACAAGAGCAAGGTCAACCACCTTTATAATCAAGGTCAACCACCTGCTAGCTCACGATGAAAAACATGCCCGGCTCCCCAGGAGGGGACTGGGCTGGATGAAGTCACCATTCTAGCCACATGCCTGAGGATGAAGGACAAGAATGTGGTATTATCAGAAAAAGAACACTGAAAAGTGTCAAACAGGCCCAGTGAGAGGGCTCAGCAGGTCAAGGTGCCTGCTGCACAGGACTTGGGTTCACTCCTCAGAACCCAAGTAAAGTGGAAGAGGAGAGAACCGACTCCACAAAGTTGTCCTCTGACGTCCACACATGTATCACAGCATGTGTGCTGGCCCTCATACACAATCATGCAAACACACATATAACAGTGATGATGATGATATATAAAATAAGACATTGCAACAGTATTATAATACCACACTGTTAAAAATCAGACTTCAGGGGAGTGGACCACAATGTTCTAGGGCCGCAATGATTCCTAGCCTCTCATGGAAGGACAAGGGGATAGAGAAGAGTCAAGACAGGATCAATGAGTCAAGACTCCTAAGGGGGAGGCTCTGGAGCACTGGGCAGTCTTCCTCCCCGCCCCCCCCCCCCCCCCCCGCCCCCGTTTGCTTCTCAGTAAACTCTGGCACTACCTCCAGGTGTGTGCTAACCATTCTGGGTCTTAAGAGCTCAGCACTGCCTGCTGGTATAAGGGGCATCACATGTTTTTTATGAGAATGTACTGAAGCAAAGACCTTTTCTCACTTATAAACAAGCCTTCCACAGTCTGCATCTGACCAACAGGTCTTTAAACTTCCAAGCACAGTTTCTGTATACTTCGAAAGGGTGAAAACACAAATTTCACACATACAAATTGTAGGTTTGATGAGTATAAATTTCAGAAGCACAAAGTTGAGGTTTCTACTCACTTGAACTAAGGAAAATATCTGCAGTAGTGAATCTATGGCTCCTTGAGGATATAGCTCAGTGATCGAGCACTTCCCTAGCATGAGTGAGGCCTTACGATTAAACCCCACCGCTGAAAAAAATTCCTCTCAAAATAGCCGAGTTTGGGATTTCTTCTTTGAATATTTGAGATACTCAAGTGGTTTCAAACCTGCCATTTTCTTATAATCCCTAAGACTTCTGATAAGCCATTTACTCTCAATTCATGATCTATGAAAGTAGAATAAACGTATGCACTGCACTGTGCTGGGTAGTGGAGAAATGCCTTTCTGAATTCCTCAGAGGGGACAAAAGCCATGTAATTTGTATGTTATACTTAAATGATTAGTATATGCAAATATTGGAATAATACAAATTACCTTGGAGGACTCGCAGGTAATATTCAGTCTCCAGAATGGACACAGCCTGTCACACTGGGGACACATCAGGATCTGGCCACCAATGTCAGGGTCACAGACCTCTTTACTAAAGGAGAAAGAGAAATAAAACAACTACAAAATTTTAGTGAAAGCCTTTCCCTTTCTATCAGTATAACAAAGCCCAACAACCAGCCATGGCAAACAGCAGCACTGAACACTACGAAACTAGAGCAGGTGACATTAACTACTCTGAAAATGCGTATTTAATGGTAAGCATTCAGCATTTTCTTCAGCTCAGAATAATGAAGGATCCTGCCATGATGACTTCTTTGTAGTCAGAAGCCTCTGCCAGCACAAAGAAACCAAGGAAAAAAAACCATGAATGCTGGTAAGGAAGAAACAAACCATCATCACTTGCAGATTACCCAACTGTCTCCACAACATCCCTGAAGCTGTCACTCTCTATAAAACCTTTCCCCACCCATTTGCATTTGAAATTGTGTTTCTTCGCCTCCTTCTCTGAGCCACAGACACAGCAACATAAAAACCTTTCTACTGGACTAATCCTTATCTTCACTGTACTATTCGTCTAGCCTAGAATCCATAGATATTCAGAATACGTTTATCAAAGTTTGCTGGACATAAAATCAATATATAAAGTATACACAAGGAAACAAGACAGTTTCAAACTATCCACTTGTAATGATTGGGAAATAATTTTTAAAAATATTTATTTATTTTATTATTATTTTATTTTATGTACAAATGTATTGCCTATGTGTGTAAGTGCACCTATGTCATGCAATGCCCACAGAGGTTAGAAGAGGTGTTGGATTCCCCTGGAACTGGAATTATAGATGGTTGTTAGCCACCATGTGGGTGCTGGGGATCAAACCCAAGTCCTCTGTAAGAGCAGTCAGTGCTCTTAACTGATGAGCCGTCTCTCCAGCCCTGGGAAATAATATTTAAAATGCTATTTTCAATAGGTTAACAAGTATGAAATATCTGGGAATAAATTCGATCCAAGATGTGTTAAGATTTATGTGGCAAAAACTCTTTCAGGAATACAGTGAAGACCTACACAATCATTCTCAGAGTTTGGGAAAAAGTATTTATGTTAGATGTCTTCTGTTTGAGCTACCGATCTCAGGGAAGAGCAAAAACTCAGGACAAGAGTTTTTAGCCTAATAAAGGGCTAATAACGGGTTACGGGCAAAGCAAACCAGCAACAGCACAAAATGAAGTGTTCAGAGAAAGAGCTCTGCCTTTCTGCCCATACAAAGCTGACTAATGACATATCTGGCCTCCAAATTAGGAAGGCGGGAACTGACATTTCAATAAACGGTGTTGGTTCAATAGACTGTCTATATGGAAAAACATGAAATTAGACCCTAATCATATGACATAAAAATCAATTCTATGTGAGAAGTGAGAATACCAAGTATGCCAACCAATGATAAAAAACCAGAATATCCACATAATCTCAGATTAAGGAGAGATGCCAAAACATGAACCCAAACACCACCGAGGAACTACTGATACAGTCAAGGTTTATAAAAAGCAAGAATGCCTGTCCAGGACTACACTGGCCACAAGCTGGTAAAAGTTCTGTGAAGGAAAGAATATTTGAAGAATTCCAAATTAATGGGAACTAAAACAAGAGGTTGCCAGATGGACCCTGTGGGTGTGTGGCTAGAGCTGGGCGGGCGGGGTGACCTTGCAAACAACCCAGTGAGAACAAAGGGGCCTGGGAAGCACTCTGAATTAGCTGAGTGAAGAGCTCAGAAAACCCATTCCTTCCTAAAAGCAGCGAGAGCAACGACAGAAATGTCAAGCTCGCCTTTTCCAGGACTCTGGAGGTTAACCAAGTGCTTGCAGTGATCTGAGGAACATTTATGGGGGGAGGGGGCTAATCTGAAAGAACAGAGCTTTGTAATATTTTAACTAGACCAGTTCCCACCCCACCCCCCAGCTTTTAGCTGTGAACAAGGGTGGCCCAGCAGCCACTGAATGAGCTACCTCTGACACCCCACCCTCAGGGGCGTCAGTATCAGACTTGTTAAGCAGCTCTTTGGAAAAGCTTCCTGTGAGCTTTGTCATTTTAGACCTCATCCTCAGAGCTCACACTGTGCAAACAGCCCAACCCACCAAGTGGTGGCACCTCCACCCCCACAAGCATCATTTAACATCACAGCTGTAGAGGCAGTAATAACAGTAAAGATGAACCCACAAACTTTAAAAGGAAGATTAGGGACCGGAGTAGCCATAGAAGGTTTTCAAACCCTCCACTGTATTTGTTGGGATTATGGAAGGCTACGTGCATGCGTAGGGCAGTGTGTAGGCTAGAAAGACCTGGAGGTTAACCCCGACGTTCTGCACAAGCCAGAAGGGAAGGCTGAGTTGAAAACTATACTAAGTGTCTCACACACCCAGGCACAGAAGAGGACTAGGTTCAGCACTGCTGAACTCACCAGCCAATCCAACTGGTATCTAACAACTACACTGACTGAACACAGACTTCAGTGCCCCCTGAAGACAGAGCAGAATCGTTCCAGGAAAGGAACTGAGCAAAAGCAGCAGAGGCAGCGCAGGGAAGGGAAGCAGCAGCCCGTCCTGAGGGGAATATGATCTCCAGTTCCACAGCACAGAATTTAAAACACCGAGTTCTCAGCATAAAAGTCACAAAGCACACCAAAAACCAGACGGGTATGGCCTTAACCCAGTCAGGCCTGGCCCTGAGAACACACTACATTTATTAGACAAAGCCTCTATTTATTTATTTTTTAAGATTTTATTTATTTATTTTATGTATGTGAGTGTTTTGTCTGTGAATACGTCTATGCACCATGTTTGTAAGCCTGCAGAAGAAGGCGTTGGATCCCCTGGAACTGGAGTTATGAATGACTGTTAGCCACCATAACCCAGGCCCCCTGCAAGAGCAGGAAGTGCTCTTATCTCCCTAGCCCCCTGAACAAAGCCTTTAAATAAACATTTATACAAATTTCAAGAACTAAAGAAAATCATGCCTACTGAATTAAAGAACTTAAGCCAAGCACAGGGGGTCCTCGGCAGACGGGAAACTTGAGGCTGTATCTATTGCAGTTATACAGTTTGAGGAATGGAAAGACAAACATGAATCCAGCTTCAGAGACCAGTGGGACACCACCAAACAACACACACACACACACACACACACACACACTGTGGACGTTCCAGGAGAAGAGAAAGGGTTGAAGGAACACAGAGGAATGACTGCAAACTTCCTAGCTGGGTGAAAGCATTTGTCTTTACATCCGGGAAACTCAGCAAGCTCTGAGCAGAATACACTCAGCGAGATTCAAACCTGGGCCCGCCATCCTCTCAGTGTGAGTCACAGCACAGACTCTTGACAGCAGAGAGAAACATGTGACTTGTCACCTACAAAGGCCCCTCAGTGAGGTAAAAGCTGACCCTTTATCTGAAACTGCCGCCCAGAAGCAGAGGGATAATGTATGCTAAGTGAGAAGAAAAATGCTGTCCACTACACCAGCAACAGTAGAGGAGCAGTTAAGGCAAGTAAAGAAAAAGCAGTGACCGTTCTCAGACCACGGGAGGGTACAACATTCTCTCCAGGGCACGCACAACCTCGTGAGACACCAAGTTTGGTACCTTGATCTTGAACTTCTTCTAACCTCTGAAACTGTGAGAAATAAGTTTATGATTTTTCGAAACTACCCAGTCTGTTCTAATGGCTCAAACAGATAACAAAATCTGCTAAGGGACTTCTAGTCTGAATATATAAAGAGCACTTAATAACAAGTCAACACAATTAAAACAGGCAAAAGATTTGGAAAGACATTTCTTTAAAGTTAGACTACTGTTCAACACATGACAAGAAGTTCAACATCAACCAGCATTAGGAATAAAATTCGAAACAGTCGTAACATGCCACCTCATACCAACTAGGATGGGTAATATAAAGATAAAACCAAGAAAACAAGTGCTCACTAGGAGCTGGAGAAATGGGAATCCTCACACGTGGCTGTTGGGAATGTAAAATGGCACAGCCACTTTGAAATACTCTGGATATTCCAGTGACTCCATTCTTTGTTATAGTCTCAAGAGATGAGTGCACAGCAGACATATTTGTAATAGCCCCAAGTGTCAATAGCCCCAAACACCCATCAGTGGATGACTGCATAAGCAACACAGCAAACCCATGCAATGGTTGTATTTGGTCCCAAAGGGGACTGAGATATCAGTAAATGCGATAACAAAGAACCTTAAGTGATGTAGTGAACAACAGGAGCCGGTCACCAAGGCTGCATGCGCCAGTTTCACTTATGCAGTGTCTACCACAGATCCATAGATACAAAAGTTAAATTAGTGGCTTCCAGGGGCTAAGGGAATGGGGAGTTAGGGGATGACTGCTAATAGGCACTGGTTTCTTTTGGGAGTGATGAAATGTTCTAGACTATGACAGCGGTGCTGACTGTTCAAGTCTGTGAATGTACTTCAATTACCTGGATTGCAACACTTTAAATGGGTGAATTTTATAGTATATGAATATCTCAGTTAAGCTATAAATTAAACAATTTAAATTCAAGTAGGCATTTTATAGAAAAGGAACACCTGAGTAGCGTATATGTGTTTCCAGAAATACACAACTTAAATGTATCTTTTACAGCTATAAATCTGTGATTAAAATTCAGTGCAAGTGTAAAGGGATGTAAGTACGAAACTGAATTCTTTGCAAAGTGGAAGGATGGGGACGCAACCGAGCAAAGTTCTGTTATTTAAGGGTAAATGGGCATTCTCTTTCTCAAATTCATTCTTTAGATCTCAATTATATTTTCTATTCCTGTGACTCTAATATATACAATAAAACCAGACATATTTAAAACCCAGATATTCTTATTTAAAGATGTTTAATAATGAATTAATGCCATGTAGCTCTGAACGCAAACTTCCTTCCGTTTTCTATAATTTGTGAAGTGGCAGGTAGTGTGTGACCGTCGTGGTTGTTTTGTGAGAGGTGCTGTAAGAACCACAGGGGCGAGGGGGATGCCTTAGTGGGCAGCAGCACTTGCTTTACAAGCACAAGGACCTACGATTGCATCCCCAGAACCCACATAAAAGAGCTGAGCATGACTGTAGGTGCCTGTCTCAAAGGCTCTCTGACAAGTCAACCTAGCTGAAAAGTTCAGTGAGCTTCTGGTTCAGTGCGAGGCCCTGTCTCTAGCCAATAAGGCAGAGAACAAAAGAGGATACATGCTGCCCTGCTCTGGGTTCTGCACGTGCACATGGGGGTGTGCATACCCACACGCTTATGTGCATACACCACACACACCATGCACCCACACACACGTGCACGCACAAGGACCTTACAAAACTGAAACCTGTTTAGTACGAAAATCTCTTTTTGAGAAGCCTGGGGGGACGGAGCAGCATACGACACAGTAGAGGTGCCAAAGACAGACACAGGACAAGGCGTCAGCACTGAGCCCTGAGTCCTTTTGTCTTTTTTTAAAAAAAGAGTTTATTTGTTTATCTTTCACGTACGTGCTTTGCCTGTATATATGTAAGGGTACCACATGCATGCCTGGTGCCACTGGAGGGCACCAGATCCTCTGGAACTGGTTAGCTGCCATGTTGGTGACGGGAAGAGAACCCAGGATCCTCTGCAAGAGCACCCAGTACTCTTAACCGTGAAGCCAGCTCTCTAGTCCCAAATTCTCTTTCATGAAAAGGGAGAGTACTTCAAACAGCCATTGTGAGCACAGAGACAGGAAGCCGGTGAGTGCAAGGGGTAACGTGCCCATACGTCGGACCGTCACCCAAGCACCCTGCCTCAGAGTCAAGCTGACATGCTTCGGGGTTAAAAATGGTGCCACCATTTCCACGCTGGTGCTCAGAACAGCAATCGAGCTGTCACACCTGGATAGAGGGTGGTCCATCAGAAGACACTTAGCACAGTGCTGCATCCACTCTGAAGACTGAGCCCACCAAAAACAGACAAACAACAGTGCCACTCCACACAGGGTGCTGAGACCCAGGGACCCCCCGCCTCTTAGACACTGCCGGTGTTCGAGTTCCCACGTTAAACCACAGATAGATTCTCTGTCACTTAATCTTTTCCCCCTTGACATCGTAAGGGTTAATCATGTAAAACCCCAAACCACAACTGCTTACTTATTTTTCTAACATATGACTCAATATAGTTTAAGGTGAAGTCATTTCTAAACATAGGAAAGAAAAAACAAAAACAACAACAACAAAAAAAGCCCCAGCTTTCCCACTAAAGCCTTAAGAAAGCAGAGCTGCTCTTGGCCCAGGTCTCCGAGCGTGTGGGAAGCATTCCTCTGAAACCCGAGTTTCAAGGCCAACGTTCTTTTTCCTTCAAACAAAGAACTGTCTTAAAATATTGGAGTGCTTCCTAATGGTGCATGCTCAAGTTAGGGGCTGGGCTAGATCATCGGAGAAAAGTATTTTCCAGTTTACTGGTTACCATGCTCAGAACAAAGAGGATATATTACCCGGTGAGCATTCTGCAAGGAGTCATCTTTACCAAAATAGTCAAAAGCCAGTAAATACTTTTATGACTCATCAACCCTTCAGCGTTGCCACAGAGCTAGAGACATTACCTCCACGTGCAGTTATCCTGATTAAAATATCCATAGAGAAAGCAGGCCACGCCCACCACTGCAGCCAGCAGGAGCATCTGAGTGTAATAGCCCAGCCAAGCAAAGTAGATTCCAATCTTCTCTCCGTAATACTTCCTGAGGAAGACAGAAATGAGCTTGAGGACACAGTCACCGTGCAGCGTCATCCTGGCATTACTGCAAAGGCGGCTGAGCCCTATCCAGTTCACTTTTCCGGCATGTTCATCTCACAGCAGACCCTGAGTTCAACCACAGAGCAGAGAGTGCCACACACAGAGGCCCTCTCTGTTATGACTGTGTTGCCTGTTGAAGCAGACTGAATTAAAACAATCAAGGAGATGCAAACTGCTGGACACGGGGCAAATAGCATCCCCTTGTTTTCCATGAAGACCAGCAGCATGTCACACATTCTGGGCAATTTTCTTATTTAGAGATCTTATTCGCTCTTTCTTATTTGGAGAACTTCTTTTGCAGAAAACACGTCAATCCCAAACAATGAAAAGGTGAATCACCTGTCCTAGTATGTGAGAGGACATATTCCACAGCATGCAGTGAATCTCCCAAAACTTGGATGGCATCCAACCTCAAATATAAACTGTAATTTTTCTCCATATAAACATAAATAAGCTAAAGTTTCATTTGTAGTAAGTACAGTATGAGATAACTACAAATAAAATGGAAGAATTTTAATTCAGTGCCACAGACTACTGAGAAGATGGTCTCTCAAACAAAACACCTCACTTAGCCATCTTTCTGATTACGGGTAACTGAAGTCAGGAGAGGTTAAGCTGCATGCAGGTGGGGGAGGCCCTATGCTGTGGTTCAAGGTCCCTCTGACCAAATTTCTCAAAACCTCATCTTGACAACGGGATGGAGATGACTGAGGCATCCACCTGCCTCTAATCCCTTCACCCAGCACGTCTTCTTTCTCTGAGGTCTATGAACAGATAAAACACCTACTTTGGAGGAAATGGGAAGAGACTGGGACTGTGAGATCGGAAGAGGGAGAGCAAGGGAAAGAGCTGTCTTGAAGCGCTGCCACTCACCACCACAGAAAGGCAGGGCTAGGGAGGGAGCGAAGGAGGAAGAGGCTACTGGGGCGGCTGTGGCTCCGCTGCGTTTTCCACACCACCTCACTTCTGCCTCCACCTGTGGATCTGGAGTTACCAGCTTTGAGGCCTCTGTGAGATGGCACGATGGGAATGGAGCTGGGCTGGTCTCCTGAACTGCACTTAGAGGGAACGTGGCTCTGAGCACAGCCTAGATCCCTGGAAGGCTGGGTCAATGCCACAGGCAGCAGGCTGAAAAGGAAGGGCTGGGACCCACATGGAGCTGGGACATGGGAGGTGAAGTGTGACACTATTTTGTGATTGAGGTTCTGCTGCCTGGTTCATGGACAGCCAGGGAACAGCAGGATCAGGACTCTGCCTGGAGATAAGTCACCAGGAGGGGTTTGGCCTGTTCTTTTGTGTTTTCTCTTGAGCTTTCTTTCATATGTTCTTCCTAAGGTTTGGAAAAGTGTTGCCAAAGGGTTTGTGAGCTGGAAGCTTGGTCCCCAGTGTGGAAGCATTACAGGTGGTAGGACCTTAACACTGGCAGATCCTAGTGGGAGGTCACTGTAGGCATCACACAGAATAATTACGGACAGTCTTGAGATTCTGTTAGTTCTCTAGAAGACTGCATCCCGGCTCACTATGTGCTTGTCCCTCTCATGTGTGCCTGCCATGATGCCACTTGTCATAAGACACAGAGCTGGTACTATGCTATTTGGTCCACTTGAGATTAGATAATCTCTCAGGGAGCTTGTCCCTGGAAAAAACTTACCCTCCCTCCCTTAGCATCACTGATTGTCTGCAGCTCCTTAATCTAGAAGTGGGACCCTGTGAAATTCCCCCATCCACATTTGCCTGCCAAGTGATTCTGTTACTGTAAGGTTTTGTTAGACTACCACACAGTGGAGGTTTCAGTGGTACGGCTTCCCTGTCATGTCTGGAAGGCATCACCCAGCAGCAGGACTCTTGTCCCTCTGGCTCCTGCCATCTTTTTGGCCCTCTTGAGCATGATGTTCCTTGAGCCTTAGCTGTGCAGGCTGCATTGTAGATGTTGGTGATCTCATTTTATGTAAACAACTTGAGCGTCTGCAGGCCTTGTTATTCTGAGGCTATTGAAACTAGTTGGCTCTGAATACTCAGGGACAACTGGGTTGATACAAGCACAAGTATCATCTTTTAAAGTTTTATCTACAGGGTGATCAGAGTGCCTCTTTATAAGTATAATTCAGATAATACAAAAACAAAGGGGCCTGAGTTTAATCAAATTAAGTAAATGAATCCTTTTGAAATAATCTGGCAATTCTTAATGGCTGTTCCCTTCACGAGAGCAGACACAACTGGACCTTGTGCTCATAGAACAGCTGACACTATGTCAAGGATTTTGCACAAAATCATCAAGCTCCTGAAGAAGGATCACATCATTTACTAAAGTGAGCATGCAGGACAGGGAGGCATGTTCCACACCATGGGTGAGAAAGAAGCCAGCAAAATAAACTACAAAGAACTCTTGCTATAACCGAAGGAATAAAGAACTTGTCTAAGACAAAACTTGAGAGATACTTAATTCTTTCCTTTCTGTTTTCATGTATGAGTGTGGTATACACATGTATATGCATGTTTGCCTGTGTGTGGAGCCTGTGTGTGGGTGCATGTGCATGGGTGTGTTGTGCATGCATGAGGCAGATGCTGAGAATCTTCCACTGTATTCACTCAGGCAGAGCCTCTCAGTCAAACCCAGAGCTCACCGATACGGCTCATCTCCCTCGCCAGCTTGCTCTGGGGATCCCGTTTCCGCCTTCCAAGGTTGGAATCACAGGCAGCCTCCACACCCATCTGGCATTATATGAGGGTCTGGGGATCCAAACTCTAGTCCTCACACTTGTATGACAAGTGCTTTAGCCATGGCGCCCCATCTCCCCAACCTGAGAGATATTTTAGCTACAACATCTGCACTTCATTTAGACTCTGATTTGAGGCCCCCAAAATTATTAAATTGGTTTTGAGACATCAAGGGGATGTGAACACTGATTATTTGATGGCATTAAGCAATTACTGATTTTTTTCACAACGGGCATTCTGGCCATGTTTAAATGTGACCTTGTAATTTAAAAATGGATGTTAAGGAAATGAAATAACACTTGGGATTCTTCACATGACTAGCAGAGTGAGGGGGCAGAAAATGGGAGCTGGCGACTGCTATGGTCTTCTCTCACTTTTACACACGTTTAAAATCCCCTATAATTCAATGGAAACAGTTTGTTAATAAAAAGTCAAACTATGCAGGTGTTTCAAGCTTCTCACTTTAAAGGTCAAGCATTTCCCAGTGGTTGGGCACTGTAGGCACTGACTTGTCAAAAAGTGCAGGTGCTTGGCTCCAGGAGACCTGAAAACCAACTGCTCAGCCAATCCACAGCAAGTCCTACGGTCTCTAGTCCCATGGCATTCCGACTGCTTCCGGTTCTCACCTGGCCCACAGTAGCACCTCTGACCTGGTCTCCTTGTGCCCTGTGCCTCATAATCCATCCTCTTTATCTTTGCAAAGATGAATGCGACCTAATTACCTAAATGCTTAAAATACTACCATCACTTTTTATTGTACCGGTGTCTAAACTCCTTCCCACAGTGTGCCGTGCTCTGACTTGCGTCAGCCATTTCTCGCTCATCAGCACTGGTCTTCTGTATTTCTTTGAACTCCCAAATGTGTTTGTGCCTCAGGGCCACCTCACAAACTGTCCCTACTTGTGGAAGAACATTTTCCAAATCCCCAAAGTAGCAGATCCTTTTCGCTCTCTGGGTCCTAGTCCAAATACCACCTGCGCAAAGGTACCTTGACTCACTTTCCTATCCATCCAGATTTCTTTATTATTTTCATCATTTGAATTAATCTTCTTTGCTTGCGTATTTGTATTTTGTTTAGCTGCTCTTGGTTCATCTCTCTGCCACACTAAGGATCCTCCATGTTGCTCAAACCATACAAGTTTCTAGAACAGTCCACTTTGATATTTTAAGAAGATAAACCCTGAGCCAATCATAATTTCTTTTGAGGTAATAAAATGGCATCAAATGGCAGAAAAACGGTAAACCTGTGTTGCCTTACCATAACAAGTTAAATCTAACACTTATTTCTATGCAATAAAAATTTTCTCCAAGTTCCTGTCACGTAACCTTTAACCCCTGGGGAGATCCTGAGAGAGGGGAGTGTCTTTCCATTCATGGTGGGACCATGTGCAGTTTCTACCACTGTAAATCATAGTGGGACCTCCAGAGTTTGTGCTAATGAGATCATTGAGAATGGAGCTGGCCATGCCAGAAAGACCAATCATAGGAGTATCGGGATAGGGCTGCAAGCCAAGTGAGACTGGCTGGACCTGCAGGGATAGGAAGGGACTTACTTTGTTCATTTTCTGAGTACCAGTGACCAGATCCAGTGTAGGCCTCACTCAGTAAGGCCAGTGCTCCACCACTGTCTAGGAGCTAGATACTGAGACACTTAAGTGATGATCCATCCATTGCAAGGAAGCCTTGACCCAACCCTGGGCAGCGCAAAGCTAGGTGAGCTCCCTTGGCCGGACTACTATTTAAAAGCTGTGCTGTTCAGATGTCACCAGGGCACCTGAGTGCTCCCCACTGGGATGCTCCCTCCAGCTCACCTGATAAGGTCCAAGGGCTGCTTCTTGTATATGCTTCGAGGATGAGCCCATTCCCTGTACAGAAGGTACCGCTCATTAGGGCAGCTGGGGTCCTCTGACTGATAGTTGAATCTGCACTGAGAGGCAGAAAACAAGAAGGAAATGAGCGTCACCATCATCTTCTCACAAACCTGCCTGTCAAATGTGGCATATATACTTCATAGCCATTTGTGAAAAATGGGCCCTCACCTGCTGAAAGGGACAGAAATACCACTTTTCTTGGGGGTCCTTTTTGAGACAGGTTTTCTCTCTAGCCCCAGCTGCCCTGGAACTCACTATGTAGACCAGGATGGCCTTGAACTCAGAGATTCATCTGCCTCTGCCTCCCAAGTGCTGGGATTAAAGGCGTGCAGGACCACACCCGATCCAAGAAATAGCATTAAATTTTTAGGGATTCTAAATCAGGGTCTGCCCTTGGGAATACAGATAGAGGTTAAGATGCTTGAGTAGTGATGCTAGTAGCTCTCACTTCTAGGCAGCAGGGCAGTAAGTATGTATGTAGCTACCACTCATATGAACTAATACTTGGCATAAGTTTAATTAGCTGTCATAACAACTCTACAAGGTAGGACTATTATTACACCTTCTTTACAGATAAGAAAAGATAGGAAAAGAGAGAACAAAGGGCTTTCACAAGGCCAGCCAGCAGAGAGAGGCAGTGTAGGAGTTCTGTCCCAGAGACACTCGCACAGCCTAACTGCTGATCTAAATGCTGTGCGCATTGCCCAAAGAGAGGAACTCCTCGCTCGCTCCACACCTGCTCCATACCTGCGACAGGCTAGTGATGATGCTCTGGCTCTTTCCTGCCCTACAGCAGCTGGCGATCTCGCAGGATCTTACCTCCCTTACTCAGGGCAGGAAGCCCAGCCCCTCTGTGCTGTCAGCAGCAGAGCACGCAGACCTTGCCATTTGACACCTGACTTACGTCATGGAGAGGGAACGCTGCCTTGTAGATTCCAGAACTGACAAGTCTGTTGATCCCAAATTTGCTAACGTTGTTCATCACTTGGTATTTGACCCGAGAGAGGATGAAGTAAGCCTAAGACAATTCAAAAACAGACTGTGGTTTACAGGGTAGAACTAACCAATCCGATCACTGTTTACTGCCCGAACAGAAATCTGTCTACACTAAGATAATATTTTTGGCAGATTTTTAAACACAAAATAACACCACCCCAAGCAAGCCATGGATTACTCAGTAGCAGGTTCCGAATCACACGAAAGCAGAAGCTATATTGGGCTTAGACTTACGATGCGGCTTCTGGTAGCTGGGTTGAAGAAGGAGTCTTTATCAAGGATGTAAAAATCGTTCATCCGGCTCTTCTCAAATGGGGCAGTGAAAAACTCTTGCTCTGGCTTGATGAGGCTCTCGTCCACTCGGAGGACTTTGGTGAACCAGTTCAGAGTGCCGAAGGTTGAGCGGATCTTCAGGTCGTTGGGCTTTAGAGGCAGTTTGATGTGCATGATCTCAGCGTAGGTGCATAGCACATCCCATGGCGCGTGCACCTTTACAAACACAAGCTTGTCATCTGAGACCTGCATCAGACAAGAGAAACGCTGACCAGGAAAGCAAATCAACCATTTCCACAATTTTAAAGCTCATATTTTTTGTATGTTCTGCTAGGCTTTAAAATAAATACACATGTACCTAGCATGGAGACAAAAGGGACGGTAATGCCAGATTTGCAGACGATTACACATTTGTACTTAAATCTGGTAGTTTTGAATCAAGAACCATAAAACCAGTAATTTTTCAAAAGTGAATCACTTTTGTCTTTATTATGTGGGTGTGTGTCTGGGTGTGTGTATGCGCGTGTGGTGTAGGACGAAGGTCAGAAGAGGATGTCAGGGCCCCTGAAGCTGGAGTGCTTGTGAGCTGCCTAGTATGGGTGCTAGGGACCAAACTCAGATCTTCTGCAAGAGCAGTATGTGTTCTTAACCACTGAATCATCTTTCCAGCCCCAAATTAACAGTATTTTAAGTGAGAAACTAAACTACTAAATCTAAGTTAGTGACTTAAAATAGCAACACTGGAATATCCATGGCAATACTGGACTAAAGAAAAGAATGTAATTTTCCAACCCTGGAAATGGGCTCCTTAATGTATTTTATAAGCTATTCATTATGTTATGTAGTCATTAATGAGAGAGTTATGTTCATTGATATAGAAATGCATTCTATATTAAATAAAAAAAGAAAATCAGGGGGCTGGAGAGATGGCTCAGGGGTTAAGAACACTGTTCTTGCAGAAGACCCGGATTTGAATCCCAGCACCCACATGGCAGCTAACAACTGTCTGTAAATCCAGTTCTAGGGGATCCAACAGTCTCTTCTGTCCTCCGCAGGCATTGCACGACATGGGTGCACTTACCTACATGTAGGCAATACACGCATACGCATAAAATAAAATAAATAAAATATTAAAAAAAGAAAACCATAAACCAAAACAATAATTCTCATTTGAAATAAATAAATATACATGTGTATCTCTATGGGTGCACACATGCAGAAAACAGAGGACAGCTTTCAGGAGCCAGGCCTCTCCTGCTACCGTGAGAGCTAGGGATTGAACTCAGGGCATCAGGTTTGAGTAGCAGGTGCTTTTACCAATTGAACCATCTCCCCAGCCAGCAATACAGACTTTGCTCGACTCCCTTCCCATCTGTGGCTGGAGCATGGCCATGGCCGCGTGTTTCCCTTAGTTCCACATGGTACACAAGTTCCCAAGGGCCACGGTTAGCCAAGGGTTTCAAAGACACCAACACTTACTGATCTTGTTGCTTCTAGCTGCAGGCCATGGCAGATGAGGTTAGATTCGTACGCTTGTCTTTTTCTCTGACAAAAGACATGGGATATATGTTAGACTTTTAGTTTTATGAAAGGCAGAAAAGACCCTTTCTTTTTTAAAGGAAAAAGTAATAATAAATACAAACTATTTTGGCCTCTAAACCCGTGGAAGGAACTGAGACCCTGTGGCTCATTTTCTTCATCTGTTCAAACTTCACTAGTTTCTTCTTTAGATCTTCATGAGGGTTTAAGTTAAACTTCACAAAGCATGCAAATGAGCATTTCCATTTCTAACATGAAAGAAGACAAGCTGGGACAACTCTTTCACTGACGACAACTGAAAATAGACAACCCTGCCCTCCAACTACAGCAGTCACATACTAGTCTGGAATTGCTGGATGGAGGTCACGCACTTTACCGAGGGGGCACTACTTGCAACTTGCTACTGTGAAGGGTCAGAGGCAGCAGCCCTGAGCTGTGGCACTCAAAACACAGGCAGCAGCTAACAAATGTAATGTGAACAATGGCACATGAAGAAGGACAAAGGTCAAAGGCGAAGGAATACAGTCAGTGTGTGGCGAAATCTGAGTCCATGTGGAATCCTTGATCTGTTTTGCAGAAACATCAGAAACAGAATATGGCTTTCTTTGTAGTTAGTAATGGCTGTGCAGCACTAACAAGGTGTGACCATTCCCGGAGTGTCCCAGACACTGTATGTTTAACTGCTTGCCACACTTTGAATATACATGCCATAACTTAGAGAAGAGCTAGCAAATGCTAGAACTTTCTAGAAGGCAGGCATGCAGCTGGCCTGGAAGCACCTGACAGAGAAGACTGGAGGTCCTGCATATCCCCCTGGCTCCTAACAAGTGCCAGGACCCTCTGGCTGCACCCCAGCTATCTCTCCAGATCATCTTCAGGCATCAGGGCCCTTTCTGCCCCTGGCTTGCCACATTCCCAAGCTCCCCTTGGGAAGTTAACTCAGGTTTGCTTTATTTCTTCTATCAGCAGCATCTCTTCACCCTAGATCTGTATCTTGTTGTTTGTTCCCTCATGGAAGCCCAGGCCTTGAACCTGATAACTTCTCTACTACAGAGCAGAAGCAAGCACTTTGATCCTAGTTCAGCCTAGAGCTTAACACAAATGATATGCCAAATACATGGTTGTTGAAAGAATACACAACAGTCCCTCCTTACCCACAGCTGTGTTTGTTACAATTTCAGACTTTAGCAACAAAGCTCCAAAAACAGTAAATGGAAAGTTCCAGAAACAAACATACATATTTTATATAATATTACATTGTATAATATATATTTCAAACCAGTTTATTTAGAGTAAGTTCTAAACCACATGCTGCTCTGAGTACCGTGATAAATTCATCCTGCTCCATCTTGTCCTGGACGTGAACGATCCCTCCGCCCAGCGTATCCACACCACCTGCCCAATCATTACTTAATAGCCACCTTGGCAATAGGCTGAACCATCACAGTATCACAGTGCTTCTGTTAAGTAACATCAAAGTCCAAGGGCAGTGGTACAATCCGGGTATTCCAAAGAGAAGTCACAAAGTGCTGTTTTTAAGTGAAAAATGAAAGCACTTAACTTCATAAGAACACAACAGGCTGAAGATTGCTAAAGATGTGTGGTGAGAATGACTCTTCCATGAAACTGTGAAGAGAAATTCATGCTACTGATGTCACACTTCAATCTGCAAATGTTACGGCCACAGCGTGTGGTGCATTTTAGTGGGAAAAGTATTACATTTGTCTGGTGTGTGTGTGTGTGTAGCACAGTCTGGTACTGCATATGGTTTCAGTATCCATGGCGGGGATGTGTCTCTTGGAATGCACCCCACAGATATGGGGAGAGTACTGCACTCAGGGGAGTATTCATTTATTAAGCGTTTGCTAAGATCTACAGAGAAACTATCCAATGACCTAAGACCTTCAGTACATGACTTAAAGGTTTATTCGTGTGTTTCACAGAAATGTGACAGACATCTCTTGTTCTTTACAGGCATCTAACATCCCCTACAGCAGATAAAATGTACACACTCTTCTTTTCTGGGAAGGGGGTGCTTTGTGACGTTTAGGGTTTGGCACATGAGTTATGAATGCCCTGAAAAACCTAACTCCTGCTCTAGACTCTGAATTGGAAGCTAGCGCTACCATACAAGCAGAACCCACTGCGGGGGGGTGAAAAGGAACGCCAGCTCTGGTGGCAGCAGTCACGTCACCGAGGAGCTTTTGGTGACCAGCAGTGGTGTGAGGAATTCCGGTTAGAATTTATTACTTTTGTTGTGTGATGAAATAACTGAAAGGAACAACTTAAGAAAAGAAGGCTTTGCTCTCCGAGATTTGGGTCATTCGCTGCAGCAGGAGTGTTTGACAGTGGCCTGTTCACACGGTAGTGGACAGGAGGCGTGGGCCAGAACCACGGGTCGTATATCATCATCTTCAAGGTCCTGTCCCTGGTGATCTGCTTCCAACAGTGAGGCCCCACTTTCTAAAAGTTCTACATCATTCCAAAAGAGCACCGCCGGCTGCAGAGCAGGTGTGTAAACATGAGCCTGGGTGCGACACCTCAGAGCAAACGCTAAGAGATAGGAAGCTTCAGGCCCAAGGGAGGTTCAGGCAGAGGAGGGACTTCTCCAGTAGTTTAAGGGGTGTTTTTAACACGTAAGTGATGGTAGAAAATAAATCAGGTGTTAGGAGCCTTGTAACAAATTCATTGCTCCACTACAGTTAGGCCCCTGCTGTCTCCCTCCTGGCCACCAGCCATGCACCAGGGAGTCACTCCACATGTCCATCTTGCAGATCTGCATGCTCTGTGAGTGCCCTTCCTTCCTCATAGAAACAACAGCAGCCTTTCACTAGAGGCCTGTGGGTTTCCACCTGTCTACGATTAGCTGCTAAGACCATCCCTCTTCATGATCTATGAAAGTCACCCATGTATCTATCTTCTTGAGCCTGCATGAGAAATGCCTTCTACTTTTCATACTGCTCTTGCTTGACAGCTGACAAATGTTTCCCATTCTAAGACTATCAAATCTTTCCACAGCCCTTCCACTGCCACACCTGCCCTTTGAGATGTTGATGTTTTAATCTTGGTATCACTAATACTTAAAGCGAGCCTATAAGGCTACGTATGCAAGCAGTAAATGTCTAATGAATGAATAAACTGAGTGAACTGTGGATTGATGGTTCCCCAGTATTCGGAAATGGGCTGAGACTGCAGAATACTACAATGCAACTAACGGGCTCCGTCATCCTTAGCGCCCAGTGAACCTTTACTTGTGGGGATTGCAGGAGATGATGGCAGAAGAGAGGTACTGCTTAGTTCTGGGGTACAACAGCATCAGACAGCACCAGGCTTCCACAGGCTGTAAGGTTCCCAGACACTTCAGGCAGTTTAATAATGAGAGGACAGAAGAGGTAAGGTTTAGAGAGCTGGGCTATTCTGCCATCAAACACATCAATACAACACTCATGCCTGGGTAGTGACAGCTGTATCAACTGTAAGCAAGCACACTGAATGCTGATCCAGACCCTGTCTCTTCTCTACAGTTTCTGAATGGAGAATAAAACTTCTCACTGCCTTCATGGGACTCTCTCCTCTTATATTCGACTCTACCCCCAACAACCCCTTCAGCCCTTACGATTCAGGTTTTTCCTCTTCTGGGTCAAAGTTAGAGTCAAAATTCAAATCCGAGCTCTTCCATTCGTGACCTCTAGGATATTGGGCAACAATCTGAGATGAAACACCATTTGTCTTCATCTCAAGAGTCACAGAAGAAACAGCTTTGCCTTGGAGGTGGAGATTAAATGTGACTATAGGTAGAATTATACAGCATGCTGCCTGGCACTTAATCTCCTCCACTCTGCAGGTCTTAGAGACTCACCAATCCTTTCTAACACCAAAAGTCTGAAGGGAAAAAGGCAATGCCTATCCACTCTGCCTTTACACTGTACACCCCAGTCCCTGCAATGAGATGCCAATAGCCCATTCATTATAAAGGAACTCTTAGAAATGGATCTTAATCCTCAGCTAGTTGGCCCTCCAACTTCTGGACTCTTCTATGCTATGAGGCCATTTTGGTCCTTAAACTACTAGTACTTAGGTATTTGATGAACATACATATTTTCCTCCCTCTGAAGAAGATGAATGTATCTGCTGATCCCCTGTCACACTTCTGCATGTCCTAAGTCCACTTATGAGCAAGGGAAGCACGTGAGATCATCGAAGACACAGAAAACATAAAAACTTTCTTCAATCTCATTTTAAAGCCTTGATAATATTCTTTCAGGGAGATAAGACCATAATTTTATTTAGCCAGCCTCAAATAATTAGATATTTAGATTGTTTATAATTTTTCACTATCATGAAAATCCTTGTAGAACAATCTTTGTGCATCCTTTATTACTTCCTCAGGGTACAGTACCAGAAGTAGAATTGTTAAATCAAACAGTGTATTCAATTTTAAGTGTTTTAATGTGTATAGCCGTACTGCCCTCCAGAAAGGTTGTACTAATTTATCCTAGTTTAGTTCTTATTTAGTTCTTTACAAGGAACTCCCAAGACAGTTACCCGACTTCTTTTGAGATAACTGGTAGACCCTGGAATTAGCTTATAATGCCTTCTATTTCACCACGAACTATAAATGCTTAAACAATTGAATCATGGAGAGGGCACTTATATTTACTTGAGTGTTACTGTAGCATGCTGGTGTTACTTGAAAGATAGTTATTATTTTTCTTTGGCATGGCAATTCACAAAGAACCAGTGGGATATCTTAAAAATTGATCAAGCCAGTTTCATGTGTCAAGTAGCTAAAGTAAATTAGCACACATGCTCCATTTGTCAAACAGGCATAGAGCAGGAAATGGCTGCGTGCTTAAGAAAAGACTGCTGATGTCTCTTTAATATGAAATCATCATCTTTGCGTCTCTGTGGAATTTACATTTGCATCAATAACCATTCTTGACATTTGAAGAATACTGATTCTTCAAACTGTCTTCCATGTTAAAACGAAAGATAATGAATACTGC